GCTGCAGGGCGGGTCGCCTGAGCTTCTCTCCTCCCCCTGACTGATCTTCAGCCTCATTTTCTGCCTCCATTTTTCTACCTACTATGTAGACTAGTCCAGTTTTCTCTTATCAATTTCCTTTTTTTCTTTCTTTTTAAAAAGCATGCTCTGAAGGCTCTTGGGCTCACTGAATAACTGTCCTGGTCTTCCCTGAGGATTAGGGAGAGCAAGGCTCTTATTTTTCCTTGTATAAAGACAGTAGCGTAGGCTGGGGCAGCACGAGGCAGTCTGTTTTAGTAATCCTAATGATCTTGGAGCTGTGGGAGCCTCCAGGCGGGAGCTCCTTGCTGTGGGCTCAGGTGTGGGAGGGAAGGCAGGGCGGCGCATCTTGGGGGAAGGTGAGGATTTGGTTCTGAAACAGCAGAAGCTTTTGGCTTGATCTTGGCAAGTGTCACATGAAATAAATCATAATTCAGAAAAATGCAAGCACAGCTAATGTTAGCAGCCACAGTTGCTGCATGATTAGTGCTCTAGATTAAATTCTTCCTGGCACTTGCTCCTACTCTGTAAGGCCTCCTGCACTGCTCTAATTGGGGCAGAGAGGAAAAATCCCCTGCTGCTCCCAGCTATAAAAGACAAATTTAATCCTCCAGTCTTTGTAGTTGACATTCTCTAATTTACATCATAACCTCTGACTAGTGGAACTGGGTCCTAGTACATGATTCATCCTCTGGTCACATGGCAAGCTACTTACTTGCTGTTATGCTTCCAGGTGTAGAGTTCAAGGGCCACCCATGCCAGCAGGTAACTGGCATTAAAGGGCTTTTGATTTGGGACCAGAAGGAAACTGGTAGATGAAGATGCAGGATGGTTGCTAATTCTACTAGCTGGTTAGCTAAACTTCTTTCACCCATACACTCGCATCTCAGTCTAAAGGAATGCACTGAGTGAGCTGTCTTCTGCCCCGGTAAATATACACTAGTAATGCCTGAAGATGTAGAGAAGGCAAAAGCAGGGGTGGGTATTAAATATACTGTGGCCCCTGCTATTTGGCCCCAGTGCTGCCCCCGTGTCTGATGCCCCATGTGGGTCTGGTTTCCCATGGTATGGGGCTGGACTGGGCCCATGGACTTCCTTTCCTCCCCCAGCATACCTGATCCAGCAGATGCTCCGGCTGGTCTGTGACCCAAGCTGCATTCAGTGCAGATCCCAGAATGCATGCTGGCACAGTCTGGCCAAAGTGGCAGCTGCACTGCATGCAGTGTACACCCAGCCCGTGCCAGCAAGGTGCAATGTGCAGGTCAGATCCTAGACAGGCTGAAGCAGGTGCTGCATGCAGTGCCTACCCTGGGGTGGCTATCCCTGCTGCTCTGACTGGACCATGCATGCCACACAAATCACTTATTCCAGCTGCGCTAGGATCTGAGCTGCAGAAAGTGCAGGTCCTGCATAAGCTGGAACAGCTGCTGCAACAGGTATGCTGAGACAGGGCCAGAGGGTCAGTGACAAAGGGTGAGGGAAGCCAGATGAGTTTGACTCCCTGGGCTAAAGGGAGTGGTGAAGAAACTTGCTTTCCTGTGCATAGTTACTCAAGAGCATCACTTGGCATGCATATACAATGACTTGCACAGTTATGACTGATTACTTATATCAGTTTGAACTGTGTATTATCAGGGCACTGATGTAGATACCTATTACTCTGGTATACAAGGTCAGTGCTTTAAAATACTGTATGATTAAAGAACTAGACTGTGGTGCATTTAAAATTGCACTTTCAGGAATAGCTGTGTGGAAAGATCTGGTGTACAAAAAGGATCTCTGATAGAGAAAGTCTGTGTTTTTGCTTGGATTATACCAGTTTGCCTAGAATAAAGGAGTTCACTTAAAGGCTCTGAACTTGTCAGTGTATAAAAAAAGAGCGGCATGGGGGGGAAGCCCTGCTTAACTTGTTAGATCTGTCTGATGAAGCCTGACCACTTGTACTTTTTCCTCTACTAGTAACCTGTATGCATTATTTATCAGGAACATGTACTATAACTCAAGTCTAGAGCCTGAAGTGGCATCTTTTGATTGGCTGTAGTTTCTGCCAAGACACCATGTCTGCCATTATATTTTGGTGGGGAAAATGGCTTGACTCAGAGCTTGTCCAAAAAAAAAAAAAGTGACTAAGTGGTGGGAACCTCTTCAGAATTGATGATAGTGCTTACATTTAGTTCATATTGGCTTCCGGTTTTTAAATAAGGTTGCCAGCTTCAAACTGCATTTAAGGCTTAAATTTATGGAATTAAAATCACTTGAATACTTTTTAGGAGCAAATAATGTACTTTCACTTAAGACTGAAAACTGTTTGCTAAACATCTGGCATCACACTTTAGTACTAAACCATCTTCTTTGTGTGATATTGTCTTGGACCAGCTAGTTCCTTTAATTTTAATTTCTTTCAAAGCTGACACACAAATTTATTGAACTTTAAATGCAGGAGACTTCTCCCACTCCCACTTTAATAAAAGCTAAATGTGGAGAATGGAAAGCTACAAGTTCTAATACCTTGATGTGGTAGCCAAGTTAATTCACTAACTGAAGATAACACTTTACCTCCCCCATTCTGGACATTTTATGCAAAGCATATTTTGCTAAACACTTTTCTTGTATATCAGCACACTTAAAATTGTGTTGCCCTATTAGTTAAACAAGTACTAGATGTGTTAATGGAGATTTGGATTAAAGTTAGACTTGTATTCCAATACAGCATAACATAAGAGACATTTAAGAAGACATCATTATTTCCTGGGACTTAATCTGAACAAAAGTAAAACTCTAGGTGGCATGTCTACTCTTCTGTTAGTAAAAGGTATTAAATTAGTTACAAAAACATTTTATTGTTAAACTGATTCTCGTTGTGGATGAGGTAAATGTCTTATTTTGCATTTGTACAAAATGTTGACACTACTTCTTTCTTCATAATGAACTCTCAGCTGCTCTAAAAAGAATTCTAAAGCTCAAGAGCACGCTGGTCATCAAGAGGCAAATGACTTGTATTCACTTGTAGGAATTGAACTTAATGTTTTTAATTTTTATTCTCTTATTCTTCCCTGCCCCCCCAGGCTGAATTTGAGACTGAATTGAAGGCAGCTGGTGATAAACTTGTAGTTATTGACTTCTCTGCTACATGGTGTGGACCATGCAAAATGATCAAGCCTTTTTTCCATGTAAGTAACTGGCAAGCAATACTCACTTCACTAATTTTTCAATGGTAAAAAAACTAATGTAGTGCTTCAAAACTACTTCATTATGAGAGGTCTGACAAGTCCCCAGCTGACATAGTCAAGAAGACCTTAGTGCGGTTTGTAACCACATCCCTGACATGCTAGACATTTTTACATGGAATAATTTTAAAGAACATGCATAAGTGAGACTTTCTTTTAACTGCACTGTGGTAAATGACAGGGTCCAGAGAATGTAAATAAACCTGTTCTATTTGATACCAGAGAGCCTTGCATCGGCTGTCTTCAGAAGCCCATCTGAAATACTGATGTCATTCTGAAATTGTAATTAAGGCTAAAATGATATCGATGTTTTATATTGCTATATGGTCTGGGTAGCTGTTCAAATCTAGAATAAGTACCTTGCATTTTGATTTCCCCTAAGACAGCGGTGTCAAACTTGTCCAAGGCCTTGGACTGAATCCATACTGCAGGGTGTACTTCTGGGCCAGATCTGTAGGGCCAGCAGCAACTGCATTGTGGCTGTTTGTGTGGCCCTACATGCTCCCTGGCTTCAACACAGTATTCCAACAGGGTACTGGATTATACACTTACTTCCCCAATCTGCAAAATTGTAAATGCACATGGAAAAGCAAAGCAGCTCTACTGTATTAAGTTTGGATCCATTCCCTTTTTGAAATGGAGATGGACTGTCTCAAAAATAATCCAATTAAGCACTCTTGCTCAAAAGAAGAAAAAAGGAATACAATGTTAACTTTAAAAGCAGTTCAGTAGCAGGGAGACTACTATCTTGCAAACTAGATCAAACTAGAGAAGAATATGTGTACAGCTATAAATCCTCAACTGACCTGCCTGTGTCTGGAAGGTTCTAAACCTTAATATTTGTGTGTCCCTATAGCCATCATAATATTTCCAGAACAAGTTGTTGTGAGACTTAATGATTTGGAGGCAGAGCAGGGAATGCCCAAATAAAATCCTCCTCCTAATCCGTTCCGATTGGAGATGGAAAAGTAAAGTCATGGATGCTTTGGTGACCATCACTGACACTATACTGTTAACTGAACTCTGGAGACCAGAATTCCAGCTAGTAAAATAGCACTAATGGAAATGGGACTTCATTTTTTTTTTTTTTTATTAAGTGGGGAGGGAGGGGGAATTAGTCTTTCCCCAAAATATGAGACCAAGCTTGTGGGGGAGGGTAATAAAGCTGCAGCTAGAACACTAATCTTTGGTATTTAAATTTTAGGAACTTGTGGAAAAATATAATAATGTAGTATTCCTGGAGGTTGATGTGGATGATGCTCAGGTAAGGTCTTGAATTAATACAGTGGAAAAAATAATACTGTTGGTCATATAACTCCTGACAATAGAACTAGATTTTAACATGCAGTGTAATACTCTGTTTGCTGAAAATGGGTAGTGTTACTCTTGCTCTCGTATTTTCTTAGCTTTACAGAGCAAGAAAGCTAAGGACTGACTGACCTTTCAAGAGTGGCGGTGTCTTATGTCCTACTGGGGAAATGTTAAATTATTATAGTGGACTTATACTTGTGCATCTGAACTTTAATCAGTCTGGCTTTGTACTACTGTCTGGCAGACTCCATAGTCTTCACTGCAGGCATAGGGAAGAAAGGTGCTAACAAGATGACTTTAGCTGCTTTACCAGGACTGAAAACTCAGATTTACACTTTAAGATAGCAAGTCTTCAGTCCTGATAAGGCAGCTAAAATTTGCTTGGCCCTTACAAGTGTAACAGCACTCATAGAGCCTGCCATGCTCAGGCCTTGATCACTTAATCTTCCCATGAACTTTGGCATTACTGGACCAGTACTGTTTCCTTTTTGACTTCAGTACAAATAAACTGATGGCATGTCAAAAGGCAGGCAAGCTGTCTAGCTACTGCTCTGAAACAGAGTACAACCACTTGCAGGGATTGTGAGTTCAAGAGCCAATGTAAATTCAACTTTCTCCTTGCTGCTGTACTCTTAGGATTGTCTAACTTATCCCTGCTTCTCCCTGAAAGCTGTTTTTTGCCAATATCTATTAAATTTAGAAATGTTCTTTAGTGGGGAAAATAGAGTAGGAATGCTGTATGGCTTCAGCTTTTTTTTTTTTTTAATTGTATCAACATGAGAAATACTCATTTAGTAAGATTACATGTTGAGGGAGTTCTTACAGTACATGTTCTGATATTTGAACTGCTGTAAACAACATTAGTGTGTCAGGTATGCAGTCTGACAAGTGCACATATGACAGGCAGGCACTCTAGCTTGCAAGTTAACTTCATAGCCAAGACATGATACTGAAAAAAATCTATAAATGCTGTTTTGGCAGGAGCAGTTCTATGTTTTTACACATAGGATTAGCTTCTAATGTTACCAGATGTTTGGCATTGTTGTGGGTGGTGCCCTTAGATGGGGAGCTTTCTTGAGGCTTTTTTTACAAGGTAATGGTGTGCATTAATTGGCTGTCATGCAATCACTTGAAAGGGCACTAAATACCTATGTTGTTGATGAGTCTCACCTGACCTCTGCCAAAGAATACATATTTCTCAAACTTTCTCTTGTATCCATTCCCTTTGCTGTTAAGCAAGAGCTTACCCAAGGGTTGTGTCCCAACTGCCCCTAATGGCAGGGATTTCTTTTCCTGTTATTGCACCAGTTAAATTTGATTGGCTGAGACACAATTGAAATAATGAATGCACTGCCTTAAGCTTCAGTTTTTAAGGATTCTCCTTCTGGCCTCGGACACACTTGAGCAACAACTTCTTTAGCAGGAACACTTCTTGGAATTTGGTAGCTCAACCTATCGGTGGAGTACACCCTCACAACTTGCTTGGAATGGGACCTGACACAATGAGGCTTCCTGGTAGCTGTGTGGACTCTAAAATCCTGGGTTTGTCAAACAGTCCCTCAGAGGAAACTAGAACTAGTGATTATACTTAAGTGAGTGAGATCCTCTGAAGGGTGCTGCAGAAAGTGCAAGGAGATAAGTGGATAAGGGCAGGCTCTGGCTTTGCCTGCCTGGCCACTCTCCTGCCCCTATTACCTGGCTCCTTTGCAAAGAGGAAAGCACTGTAAGTCTCTGAAATGGGGGTACTGCTCAATTTGGATAAACTTGGAGGTGTGCCTTGATTCTGAGGGGTGCCTCTTCTTTACAAATTAAGAGCCACTGCTCTAAATCTAGAAGAGATGAGGAGACTATAGCTTTTAGCTGACTAGTAGACTCCACTGAAATGTACCGCTTTACTTGGTAGCAAGTACATGCTTGGCTCCAGTCTGTCCTCTAGCAGTTTTTAGACAGACTGCTTTCTAGTTGTAACTAAAGTTTTATATCTTAAGATTCCAGTGAAACTTCCTCTCTTCTAGGATGTTGCTGAACATTGTCAAATCAAATGCATGCCGACATTCCTGTTCTACAAGAACGGCAAGCGGGTAAGTTTCCACATTCCTGGTGGGGCAGGTGTGGGGAAAGTAGCCCAGGGAAGGAGAGCACTGGATGCTGAAATCCTTGAATCTGAACCCAGATCAATAGTAGCTATGTTTAGGCCTAGAAAGGCTTAAAATCTTAAAATTATCTTAAAATTTAGATAATTGCTTTGCATGATCTTTTGGGGGTAGGGAGGAAGAAGAATGGAATCTGGCTTCATGTACCAAGAAAGTCTTCCAAAGCTAAAGATGCTCATGTTTTGTAGAGCTTGCTAGCTAGCCTACTTGTCCACGATGCAGATGACTTTTGAACTAATAAAGCGCAAGGAAGTTAATGTATCCTGAGACTAGATTTTCTAGCCAAGAGTAATGGGTTGCTAAAATATACTTAAAAAAACAAAAACCAACAAACATTTAATAGCCGCCCCCAAAAAAAAAAAAAAAAAAAAAGCAAACTACCTGTTGAGTCCTGGACAGTTGTCTGGCATGTTGCCATTTCAGGGAAATACCTGAAATGTATGTCCCAGTTCATAATCTTCACTAGTCAGAATTAGGCAGTCTTCACTTTTGCCCCAGGACCCAGACGTTTGTCAGCTGGCTTTGTGCGACTTCTCTGCTTACCCACTGCAATAGGTTAGCATTTACCAGTTACAGTAGTAACTCTCCTGAAACATTATGAAGCATGTAATAAAACAAAAGTCAAGGTAGCCATTGATTACTGTCCATCTTTGTAGAGAGGCTGAAGTAACAATTTTTCACAACGACCAAACTGATGCACCATATTTTCTCTCAAACCCCCAAACAAAAACACGTCTTCCTCTTTCAGAAGGCAAAATGTTAAGGAGTGTGGAGGGAGACTTCTCCAGAATCATGGCAGACTGTGACACAGTAAATCCTCGTGGAAACAGTGTCCAGAAAGTATGGCACTAGAATTTTTCCTTTGTTGCATGAGGCTAGGCCCCAGACCCTTGCAAAGGGCAGTAGCAGGACTACTACTTGTTTGTTGCAAGTAGTTCGTTATGGAACTTCCGTAAATTTTGATGTGTTTCTACAGCACGAGCCTCATCAAGATGCTGATAATAGCTCCCTTGCTGCTTTGGGCAGAAGCTGCAGTACTTGACTGATAGCTATGGCTATGGGAGGGCTGACAAGACTGCACCTTCAGTTTCCTGAGCAAATGCAAGCGGTAGCCATCTTGACAGCTGCATGGCATGCAGTGTCTCTAGCTTTGCCCTTCTTTCCAGCACAGGACCTTTTTCCCAAGCTTAATAAGCACACATGTTGTGGGGAGGGGTTGGAGAAAAGGCATTGTTGTACACTAAAGCCTTTTGTGATTTGGCTTTTAAACTCGGCTTAATTGGCCCTTTGGTATTAGGTCTTTAGATGTTGTGCATCTCAAGCCAGTGGCAGTTAACTTTCTTAAACTGGCAGTGTCTTTAATGAATCTCCAGCAGTGTTTCCCTAAAATTAATTTCTGTAAACAAGCAACTGCCTCAGTAGCTACATGCAAGTTTTTGCTGTGTTAGCTAAACTTCATACATCTTGATGAGTTTTGGTCCTACTGTGTGATTATCATGCACTTCCTAGTCAACACATGTGGGCTTGGCAGTCACTTCTTTGGATAATGACAGTTTGCAGTGTAAGGACACAATTGAGAGCAGTGGACTTACTGGGCTGGGAGCTGCAATGGGCATGGAGACATGGTTCTTAAGAAATGTTTAACTTGGTGGGTACCTGTTTAAAAATACAACCAGACTCTAAAGTGTCCAAAACCTTGAAAATGCAGCTGGAAAGCAGGAATAGCCATATTTCCCCATCCACCCCCAAGGGAGTGTAATGTGGTATAACTGGAAGTGATTTGGTATTTGGCATTAATTTATCTTTTTTTTTTTTTTAATTTAATAATAGAGCTAAAATGTATAGCCTGAAACAACTTGTCGTTGCAGGTGAAGGAATTTTCTGGAGCAAACAAAGAGAAGCTGGTGGAGAGTATTCACGAACTAATGTAGCAATGGATCCAACAAACAGCGTGAACAAATGTTGACTGTTTAAATTATAGCACGTAACTTTTTCTACTTAGACTGATCAGGTTAGCTTGAAAGTAAATATCAAAATAAACTGTCCCTTCAGACTGTAAATGAGTACAATAAAATTATCAATTCTTTGCCTTCAGTTGTTGTGTGTGGTACTTGAAGCTCATATAAAAGCCTGTTTTTTTTACTGCAGTTTCCAAAGGATAAATTGGATGACATTGCCCTAATGTGCCATCATTTCTGGCAAGTGTTTAAGCCCTTCAAAATGTCCCCTACCATGAGGAGATTGGGGAAAGAGGGAGCAGGCACCCTGACCCTTATACCTCTGTCCCCTGGCACTTGCTTCCACCATTCCTGTGCTTCTCACCTACACTGTTACATGGCTGATCTGTGCAGTACCAATACCCATACAGGCTGGTGTCTCACTGCACTGGATCCCTGCTGCTGTCCCCTACCCCCTCCTTACTATACTGCTGCTGACTCATTCCCACCTTTACAGCCTTTCTTTGTTGAGAGGCTAGCTAATTCAGCTGAGTATCTGGCCAGAGCTGCAGTTCATATACCCTGTCTTGTATTGCAAAAACAGCCACTTGTACAGCTCTATTGCTGAGCATAGTAAGAGGAGCTTCAGCAGTTAGTAACATAAATCAACCACTAAGTTTCCTCTAGTCTGTTAAGATGTAACTGTTCAAGTGCCACTCTTGTACTGAGGGACCTGGTCCAAGCCTAAGATTAGATCAAGTTAGCAAAAATCTGCCCTGCCTGTGGGACAACTATACCTTTAAGCCAAAGGTATGCTAATATGTAGTTGGCCCTTTGATAAAGCTAGATTGTAGATCTCCACAGTAAAGAAGAAAAGCCTAAAGAACAAAGATCACTGTACTCCACCAGCCTCTTATCCCTAGATGAAAATGCAACTCTGCAATCCATAGTTGATAGCTTGGAGGCATTTCATTAATTGGTAATTATAAACAGTAAAATATTTTTAAAATATCCAGTTTATTTGTTTATCGTGGGTACAACGCAGTTTGCTCTAACAATGATGTCTAAAAGACAGAACTGATTTAACCTGGTTAAGATTAGGTACTATTCTTCCCCATATGTTGTTCCTGAAACTAAATGAATTGTTTTAGACACAGAATTTTAGAAGCTTCCTGCTTTTGCTGTGATCTGTGGTAAGCCTGTTTCAGGTTTGCCTCGGGGATATTTGCCAGTAGGCTTCTTCTCAGTGCAAACCCTAACTCACTGAAACTAAGGGTACCTCTGGTTTAGCAATTCTGTCAGCAGTGCAGTCCTGCAAACATCAGATAAGCAATTCAGTACTGCTAGGCAATTAGTTGGATTACAACTACAAAAATGTTAGTTTATAAGGCTCAGAATGATTTAATGAATTTATACATTACTGGCAACTAATGGTTGACTATCTGGTAATAAAACTGAAATGTCATTAGTATAATCTCCCTTTAGGTTGTAAATCTTACTCATATAAAATAGTAGTATAAAAGTATCTACATTGTACTCCATGATGAAACAGATCACATTCCCTTTACATTTTCAGTATTGCTTTTCCAAAGTTGTCTCCCTTTAGCATGCCCATGAAAGCAGCTGGCATATTTTCAAATCCTTCAGTGATGTCTTCATGGTACTTAATTTTTCCCTATACACACACACAAAAAAAGGATTTTACTCCAATTTCTAGTCATTTACTTTTAATGGTAGCTTAAACTGTTCCCCATTCTACCTTCCTTTGCCTCCTTCCCTGTATTTTGTATTCATATCACATGGTATTTGATATACTGCTCTGTGCTTTGCCTTGTACAGTATCTGATGAAGTGAACTCAAGTTCAGACTCTCAAAAGCAGATACTATGCATCTAATTTGCCTACTCTATAAGATGCAACTCAACCCTGCTTTCTGCTTGACTTCAAACTAGCATGACTAATACCCTGTCTTGACTTAAACTATTGCCAGATCTCTTTGACTTGCATAACCACAAATTTTAAAGCAAAGGGAAGGTGATAGCCATGTTAGTTTGAAGCCAGGCAGGAAGTAGCGAAGAGTTGTACCTTGTAGACTAATTCAGGCATCTCTATCCTTCCTTCTCTCAATTTTTTTTAATAATATGTTAGATCTGTAGCTGGTATATCTTAGGGTACCAGATAGTAAAATTAAGTTATATCAGTATATTGTCTAAGAGTTCTGCTTTTAATGGCATGTCCGCTGCTGTTTTTCCACCTGATGCCATAGTTCTTTTTGGAGTGACAGGCATTTCTAGAGAGGCCTAGAAGAACTGTCTTCAAGAGTGGAGTAAATATTAAATTCTACAGTGATGCACTTTGTCCCTCTGCCCTAGTAATACAGCAAACCTCAAGTGTTTCTAAGTCTTGAATCAGGCCCTCTGCCTAAAACCATGAGGCTTGAAATAATCTTTGGGTGCTTTTTGACATTTGCAGCTTTTACAGTTCAAACTTACCAGCTTTTTTCAGTAACCATGAGGACTAGAAACTTATCTTTCATTTAAAGTACTGCATGAAGGAGTTGGGCTTTCCAAGTGCCACACAGCATGAAGCTTCAGATAAAGCTATACTATGTCTCATCATTTTAAGAGGAAAGAAGAGTGTAAGAGAGAAATTGTATTCTCTCTAAACAGAACATTTTTATTGGCCAGAGGCTGAATCAAAGCAAAGCATGTAATGTAATTGTAATACAGTATACTTGCATGCATACTTAGGGATGTTCCTTGCTACCTACTCAGCCTCCTTTTTCAGCTGGTGGCCCCTCTAAGAACCAAGTTGTATTTGATGCTTGGTTTCTTCTTGGCTGCAACACATTTTAGTTGTAGAAATCCATTGCATTTTCCACACTGACTGTGCAGCCTGGTTTGGCCCTACTCTCACCTATGCTTGAGGCATGGAAAAACAGCTTCAGACATGGTTCATCTGTTACAAAAGACAGAGTCTTTGCACAGAAGAAAATGTCAACCTGAGCTGACAAATTGTACTATGAGAAACCATCATCCCTTACCTCTACAACCCATTTTAACAGTGCCTTCAGACCTTCCTCACGCCTGTTGTTCCAGCGTGAGACAATAAATCCTTCCATGCAAAGCTCTTGATAGATCATTGGAACTTGCACATAAGGTCCTGAAAGAGAGAGGAACAAGTAAAACAACAGTGGTGTTACTTCTGTTTAAAACCCAAATAAGCATGTAATAAGGAGAGACCTTTCCAATTCAGACACTGATAGTGAGGGTAGTCAATGAGTAATCAACTCAAGGCTGCATGCTTGACTTATTCAGTGAGATCATTCAGTATTTGACACTAAAGGTTTTGGGTTTTTTTTTTTACATGGAGACAGGAAATTTAAAGGCAAAATACTTAAAGGTGTGAAGTTAAAAAGTGCATTCAAATCTGCATGAAGGATTCGTTTAGGAGTAAAGTGGCTTTCGTTTGCTTTTGCTTAGCCCTAGGGAGATTTAAGGCTATGTTTCTTGCATAACAGCTCAAATGCTTAATCTTTTTTGAGGGGGAAAAATCTTACAAATCTTGCTTTTTAATGTGATATACATATATAAACCCAACCTGTCCCCAGCAATAAAGGATTACATTTTCAACAGTGCCTACATGACTTGGGAGCCTTAGAAACCCAAGTCCCAGTGAAAACTGACAGGATTTGTACTTCAAGGCACTTTTGAAAGTGATGTAGGAAGCCTAATTTTCACTCCCAACTCCTACTGACTTCACTGGGGGTTTCACACGGCAGGAAGGAATCTCCCAGGTCAGCTGGGGCCAACCTTTTTGGCAAGCATACCACAAGCTAGCCCCATACCAGCCCTGGGTGCAACTCCAATCCCCTATCCCTGCCTGATTTGCTCTTCTGCTTTCTGCTCCCTGTCCAATCTGCTGCTGTACTGCCTGTCCCCTCCCTGATCTGCTGTGTGGCACACAGAGGCTGCCTGTGCCACCTGTGGTACACATGCCACAGGTGGGCTGCCGCTATCCTAGGTCATCAAATCTAGTCCCTGCTGTTGCAACTGCGTCAGGTGATCACTTCCATAAACTGATCAAGCTCCATTGTAACACAACACAAACTTATCTTGCAATAAAAGTAATATGGAACCATAGCATAAGCAAGGTCTAGTATAACAATTATGGGCATGGATTTATATTAGTGAGATTCCATGTCAGCTTTAAAGTATTCTAAACAAATATTCTCAAGGTTCAATACATAACAAAGGGACACAAACAGCCATGTTTGCTCCACTGTAAATTACTGTTGGTCCTCAGCGGTGTTCTGGGGACTCAGGAAGGTTTGTGGAGCTTGTCCCACCCAAATCAACTACTCGTTCTAGTGAGTTTAAATACAAACAGTATATGAATAATAGTTTGGTATGGGTAAAACATATCAACCCAAGTAATTAAATCCTCATTATTAACAAAAGTTTTAATATCTGAAATAGAAAGAGGTTAATCTTGAATTTACTAAGTCCTAAATTCTCAAAAGCCTGTAACAGTTGACCAGCCTGTCAGGGAAAAGAACTTCTTAGCTAGGTTTAAAAACTAAGTTTCAAAGAGAAAACTTAATTTTCTTGGTTAATCTGCAGCTAGGCCATTTAGTAAGAGCTGTAGTTCAAAGCTGAACAGCAAAGATTTTTAGCTGAACCTGCATTTTTATACTCAATTACCAGGCTCAACTTCAAAAAGCTTGTTAAATAACACTAGAAAATAGAAATATGCTTAATAGGTTATTTCATCACTAATATTAACATGAACTCTATTTTGTAGGGTTATTGAGTGTAACTTGTTTGTTATCAAGCAGAAATGCCTCTTTTTAATCACCTATATAGGCTGCACTTGCCCTAAACGAGATCTAGCTGGTAAAAACCACTAAATGTCAATAAGTGACCCTGAGCCAATTTCTCTTAGCCTGGCTTTCTCTTGCCTTGAACTCTTCTCACATACTATATTTTATTTCCTGCTCATTTCCATTGCCTCTTCACTTACCAAAATCTGGTCCAGCAGATGCAAGCAAATGCTATAATATATCATCAGTCTTAAACAGCTTAGGGCCTATTGCCCCCCCTCCTCTCCCCTCCCCTCCCAAAAAAAACCCTGATAGACAAAAATGAGATGCATACCT